ATAGGTTAGAGGCAGCCATAGCTGCCATAGCTGTAGTTAGTAGTGAGTGTGTGTGTGTTCGAGTGTTAGAGTGATGCGTGTGGGATATCCAGGGTGATCCAGTGTATGTGAACAGTGAGATGTTTGGGCGCTGAAGTCGCCATAGCCAAATCAGAGTGAACTCGTATCTGAAAGCCATATCTCTGAGTTTTGAGTGGGCGCTTGTCGCCAGTATGCTGCGTAACTGTTTACATGTGTGAAAAGTGTGTTTGAAAACGAGTCTGATTGCAAACCCTAGACCCTCGGTTATAAGGCTGAATTCTGCTTGAATCATAAACCCTAAACCCTCGGTTATAAGGCTGCCGTATTTTACTCTTTGTAGGCCAAGAGATAAAATTTGTGCTGTTCTCCAGCCCTTGAACTTTTGACCATGTCTCTCCTACAGTGTCATACCTATTATATGGCCTAGGTTAACTGATTGTAATGGTGTCAGTACAGGAGTCGTGGAGTCTTCTGTCTCCTCATGTTGAACTCTGTGCTGGGTCCCTGCAATTCTCCAAACTTAGCACACTAATCATTTTTTTTAATTATTTTTTTTAATTTCCCGATTTATGCGCGTCATCCTTACGCAGGGGCCATGCTAATCTTCTCTGTATCGTTCCAATGCTAATCGTGGTGTATTGCCTTCAATGTTTCCTAGCTTCCCTTCTCCCAGTTGTTCTTTTTTAAATTTGTCAACAATTTCCCCTCGCTTAGTAGGATCGAACTTTCAACGCTTTGTTACAGTCCGCTTGATATTCGTCTTGTAGAAGGTGCAGGAGGATCTGCCAAGCTTCCGGCTCAGATATATTGCAGATGCACTGGGGTCCTTCGGGAAAAGGACAATTCAACGAGAAATTCGTATGCTCAATTTTTTTTCCTGTGCCCTTCGATATTTTAGAAGGGAGGGGCACCATTGGATATCTCAGCCAGCCCTCCCCAAACTTTTTTTAACTCTATTTATTGGGGTGTGCGCACATGGTTGCGCGTGCACTAGGCGCCGCACGTGCGGAGCTCGCGCGCATGCGATGCGCCGGAGTATAGGGGTGATATAGGGGGTTATGGACGGTTTAATAAGGATGTTGGCGGCTGTTCGGGGCTGTTGGGGTGGTATATGGGGTATTGGGGTCTGCTATGGGGGTGTTGGTGATATTATTAGGGGTTCTGGACCCCCCCCCCCAAAAAAAAAAATG